AGAGCTGATGTTGAATAGATTCTATTATAATTGGGACTTAGTGTTAAAAAGTACAATCAACTAGGGCTCAAACATTACCTGAAATTTACTGAGACAATTTGATGCTGTCTAAAATTTAAAAATAAGATGTAGAGTGGGTTCTATCATAATTGGGCTCAACATTATTTGAAATTTGTTGAGATTGGCGATTTCTTGAGTATAGTTACTATGATGACGATTAATTAGGGCAACTAGGGTTCAAGCATTACCTGAAATCTGCTGAGATTGGCAATTTCTTTGGTGCAGTTACCATGTGACGATGGATATTCTTTTTGTTCGGGAAGTGGTGATCTATATGGATCTTTATATATACTGGTTATATAGATGCTATCTTAATTTTAGAAATGGGATATTATTTTATACTAAAAATACATAGCGATTTCAAGGGAATCCTATAGCCTTGTGTTGGATTTAGATCACGAGGTGGGTCAATAAGAGCTTATCAACGAAAATTTTAAATATTCTAGTAAATTCATTTAGAGGGTTTAGTCGTTTTTGCCTCTTTAAAATCTATATATATATTTAATTAACAATAGTAACTAATTGATAATATGATCTATGTTTCGACAATTTACAATGGTATATTATCTTTTCAATTTTCTTCAGTGATAATTTCCAAAAATTATTATAAACTTTTAACGTTCTATTTACTTGTATATATATTTTAAAAGAGCTCTTCAGTCCAAGAGGATCCAGACTATTACGATGTGAAACAAGATAGAATAGAAAAGAGTATTATTATTATTATTTGTTTGATGACTACTGGGTAACATTTGTTGGACTATATGCGTGCTTCAAGTATGAATATCTCTATTTACGTTTGTTTAAATTATATACACAATTAACAGGTAAAGGATTATTTGGTGAAGTATTTAAGGGGTGAATTGTCGGTTTCAATTCTGATCTCTATTACAGTATTAGCTCAAATTTTTTTAATAATAATCTTTTTTGAACGTGAACAGGTTTGATAAGAGAACTAAAATACCTGTGCTATCAAGATCATAGATCTTGAACATGCTGAAGATGATATTCAGCCAGAAATAGCAATTCTTTCACAATTGGATTCTCAGTATGTAACTAGGTAATCCCTTTCTATAACTCCGTGATAACTTATTTTAATGTAATTAACTTTATATTATTAAATGCTCTGCTGCAAATGATTTAGATATTATGGTTCATACCTCAAGAATCCCATTCATGGGTTGTCATAGATAGTGGTGTGAACGTATTTGTGACGGTGCTACCTCAATTACGCTACTGCTATAGTACTACCATCGCAATCAGTTGTAGTGCAAGTGATGTATTATGAAAAAAAAATATACAGAATAACAGATAATTTTGTATACTCGCCGGGAAATTAAAAATTAGATAAATAGTTTCACAAAAGAATTTAACTAATTTTAACCCTGGGTTAAAATTATAAATTTTAACCACCTATAATTTATTGTAAATTTTTACTTAATTTTAATATTAAAATTAGAATTTAATATTAAAAATAGTGTTGAAATTAGTATTAGGGTTATAGTCAAGACTAGAATAAGGTTTTTTATAGTACTAAACATTTTTACGTATCAAACATATGGTTATTTAAGTCATTTTTGAGTTATAATAAGAGGGTAGTTATGTTAACCAGGGGGCAATTTAGCGATATTAACAAAATTAAAATTAAAATTTTGTGTTTAGGGAGCTGACAATTATCAGGTAAGTATACCCCCCAGGGAATACTTATTCGACAATGCAATTTAATATGACTTACCAATTTGACTTATTAAATTGTATTGTCTAATGAGTATTCCCTTGGGGGTATAATTACCTAATAATTGTCAGCTCCCT